AAAAAAAAAAACTGTCCAGATGACCTGACTGAAAAATGTTGGATTGTATACCTGGATTATTGAGCATGGACTGTTATGGTCATCTGGAAGCTTCATTCTTTTCAATATTCAGTTCTTAATTCTTGAGTCATTTTTGACGTCAAAACAGTATTTTTCTAGAATTCATTAAGTTTGCACGATAACGCAGTTCACTTTTAATCTTATGCAATAAAAACTCGACTGTTGTTAATTCATTCATTTATTCAACCTTTATTTATACAGGTTAGTCTCACTGACCTTTACAAAGTACCTTGTAGTGATAAACAACTTCCTATTTCCAGTAGAAGCGTTTGTTTATTTGAGCCACCTTTTATCCAAGGGTTTGGGTAATGCACCCTTGTCTGACTGAGGACCATGGCCTCAGATTTAGAGGTACTGATCCTCTTCTCAGCCGCTTCACACTCGACTGCAAACAGCTCCAGTGAGAGCTGAAGATCACAGAAAAATTACGTTGAAGTCCAACAGGACCACATCATCTGCGAAGAGCAGAGATGGAATCTTGAGGCCACCGAACCGGACTCCCTCCACCCCCTGGCTGCACCGAGAAAAACTATCTATGAAAATTATGAACAGAGTCTGTGACAACGGGCCGCCCTGAAGGGGTCCAACTTACTGCCGGCAATGGGAGCAAGAATCTTGCAATGATTGTTTAGGGACTGAATGGCCCGAACCAATGGGCCCCCAATACTCGCAGAGCACCCCCCACAGTGTGCCTAAAGAAACATGGTTGAATGCCTTCTCCAAGTCCTCAAAACACATGTAGACTGGATGGGCAAACTCACATGACCCCTTGAGGACCCTAGTGAGGGTAAAGAGCTGGTCCAGTGATCCACGGGCAGAACGACTATTTTTAGCTTTTATAACTTGGCAACTCTCATTGAAGACAAAACAAAAAATGTGGGGACTATATTTGTTTATTACCCAATGTAAAAAAACAAACAAACCTTACTTTACCTCAACAACTTTTCCAAATTTCATTTTTCAGAAAATGCAATAGGTAAAGAGTAAAGCAAATATTTGTACATACTTTCCAATATTCCACATTTATCCAGACCTGGAATACTAAAATCAAACTGCATATTTTTCAAGACTACATGCAACAACCCTGTTTGTAGACCATGACCCATTAGAGGCTTAACAACAACATTACATTGCAATACGGTAAAGTACAATTTAATGCAGCAAATAGCAGATTTACCCAGGGCTAAGAAAGAAGACGTCTGCAACAGGGTCGTTGGAATATTCAGACCCCAGACTGTACAGAAAAGTTTGAATGTCTGAACATTTTCTTCACAAAATAACACATGCACTTTGCCCCCAAAGCTCACTTACGTTTTCTATTGTTCCCATGTCCGGTTTGTGCCATGTCTCGATCTTTATCATAAAGTCGTCCTTCATGTACTCATTCTGAAAAGGCAGGAAAGAAAACAGATGGTATAAGAAAGTTTGGGTCAATCTTTACCATTTTTAGACACGAAAATTAGGTCCTAAAATAATGGAAGATGCAGACGACTCCCCCATCTCCCTCTGTCCTCACTCCAACTACCTCCATGTCCTCTCTAACTGCATCCACATGTCTCCTCTGTGTCTTTTTCCTGCAGCTGCATTTCTAACATCCTTCAACCAATATACCCACTGTCCCTCCTCTGGACATGTCCAAACCACTGTCCCTCCTCTGGACATGTCCAAACCACTGTCTCTGCTATGGACATGTCCAAACCACTGTCCCCCCTCTGGACATGTCCAAACCACTGTCCCCCCTCTGGACATGTCCACACCATCTCAGTCTGACCTCTGTACCACTTGTGAAATACAAGGCAGCTGGATGAGTTTACAACGTAAATACTCAAATGCAGCAAATCAACATTGTTTTGAGGAATCCTGATTCATTGAACGATACACTCATTCTAAAGAACAGCTGGCAAGATGCAGGATGGGGGTAAATTTATTTATTTATCCTAATATGAAACGCCCTGATGTGCACTGACCCAACGTGCCTAAACATCCTCCTGCCTGTACATAAGTCTGTGCATAACTCAATGGTTCAAGTGAGTGACTTCTTGTTTATTGGGTATATTATATTAATCTAGCTGGTTTTTGTTACTTTTTTGCCATCTTTTTTGTAAAATAAATAAATAAATCTGTATGCCTTTTTATAACTGTCTCTTGTTGTCCATGTTGTCATCATTCTTTGTTAAATCAGGTCTCTCTTGTAAATGAGTCCTCGAGGCTCAATGGGATTTACCGTCTGAATAAAGGTTGAATGAAAATTATTGGGTATACTAGTTTTAGAGCATTCTATTAAATTCCTCTGTGTTTGTATTTGTTATGTCAATAAATGCTTCTGCCCCCCCCCGGCACACTTGACATGAGTGATCGCTTCACACAATGTCCCACTCTGTCCTCCGGTTGTTGCCAATGCCAGGAGACAGCATGTCAACCACTGTTTTAATATGTCTCTACTGTATTTATGAGCTTCTTACATTGCAACTCATATTCCAGAATCTTATTCTCCTACATGACAAAACGCGTAGACGTGATTTATGGTTGTGCAGAAAGCTGAATCACATGTGCAGGGCATCATTACATCTCTCCGTAAACGTAAACGAGGGCACGTCTAATGGACCCCTAGTTCCATATTGACTGGGATGTTTAAAGGAAATGTGGTTGGATTCATGCGTACAAACAGTTTCGTATGTCTAGATTTCTTTGTGCACGTGCCGACTGCTGTTTTCTTGATTTAAGTGTGTGCCAAGTTTCAGTATAAAATCTACACAAGTCCTTGCACAGGCGGCCCCAGCCCTGAGAACCGACCAAACAACTATTGACAACACTCCCATGTTTCTAATTGATGTGTCATGTGACACAAAGTCATGCATCCTCTCCCCCTGCAACATTATCTGTAAATGTTCTGTCAAACAAACTGATAAGAACGAATGCCAGCTGGGACCGTTTCTGTTATTAGCACGACAAATATGAGAAAATCAAAGTACAAAAATAAGCTTTTTTGGTCTTATGTAATCCAAACTCAACTTCTCAACCTTTAGGAATAAGCAAGATACAATACATCCACTACCAATAGTTTTCATGGTAATATGTGTTCCAATAAAAAGCTTAGATTTATTAACTCACCGTCACAACTGCAGAGGAAAAACAATGCAAGAAAGAAAAAGTATATAGTTAGTAAAAATTCATGAACAGTTTGATGATTTGGTGGGAAGGTAAGCATCGGTGAGTTTGTTTGGCAGGAACTTACTGGTGCGACAGTATGGGTAAGCGTTCCAAGCCTTTTCATGAAAAACTAATGCTCCCTCTGGTGCAATCATCTTCACATATCCTGGAACTTTACTGGAGTGCACAAAACAGAAGGCAATGATGAGGAAAGGAACAAGAGTGTGCACATAATCCCAGTCTTCACTGCTTCAATAAGAAACAAAGATCACTCTATACAAAATTCTTGTGACTCCTTTTCTTTGGAGTTCAAAAACTAGTAAAACCTTGTGAGGGTGTGAAAAAACTGCCGTGATGTGAAGGTTGACAGCTTGTCCTTCAGCGTTGTGTATACATTTGTCTGAGTGAAGCAAAAGTGTGACATCTTTACAGCTTTATGTGTACGAATTAGAGCCCGGCCGATATATCGGAAGGGCCGATATTTTAGGCCGATTTAAACGTTTGGGGACAAATCGTATTGTGATAATTGTCCCATTAGGCACCAATATAAACACTGGGAACAAACCATGTCCTTACTTGCAAAAGGTGTAATTGTACAATGTATCCAGCAGAGGGAGCATGAAGACCGTTCAAGTCAAGGGTGTTCACTTAAGTTTCACTTTCAGCACAGCCGAAGCAGGGAGCATTACTGTGTAGAGTATTTTACTGAACAGAGCATGGTAAGTTATTTTAACTGATCTGTAAAACAAATCAATAATTCTCTTCAGTCCTCCAACCTGCTTGTCATTAGCTACGCGCCTCTCAAGTTAGCAAGCTAACGGTCAGATAACCTAGCATAGACTATTGCTTGTAAAACTTTATCCAGAACAAAAACTCTAATGAGGTAGAATATATCACCAGTTTATCGGTTATCGGCATTAGCCTCCTTCAACCCAACCCAAATATCGGTACTGGCGACAGCCAAAATTTCCATATTGATCAGGCTCTAGTATAAATCTTCCCAGAAACATTCTTGAACTACCTCAAATGACACTTTGGTCCAAAACCATTTCTAGCATTCCTTGTAGAGTTGCACTTCATCTGTCAACCTTCATGCCAGAGCTTTAGACGAAGATCATCTTGTGTTGAGAATTACATCAATTTTGGTCAAAAACAGGTTAAATTAACTTCATATGCAATATTTTGCAGTACTGCAGTACCTTGAATCAGTTGGTGCTTGGAATATGTGTTGTGAATGACACACACCAAACTTTAACTCAATATTTGTAGAAACCACTGAGTTAGAGCTGTTTTCGTGTCAGCTCAAGTGAATTAGCCGAGACGGTCATTTAGAATTGGACTGTCGTGGATGTACATCCAATCCAACAATTATTTTCTAAAAGTTTTATTAAAGCCTGTTCGGTGGCTCTTGAGATGTTTTGCTAACAGAACAGATCAACACAAAAACACAGGTGTAAACATCACTGCCTGTATGGCAGGCAGTGATAACGTTTAGGGTCGGGTGTAAATTCTGGGTCAATCCTAATCTTAACCCTGTGACCTGATCACTAAACCCTCAGATTTAAGTTACAACGCAGCTGTGGTGCAACACGTCAAGATGGCTGCACCGAGAAGCAGCACGACTCAAACCTGATTTAAACTAAACTAAGCAGCAAAATATAACGAAATAAAGAGCTCCTCTGCCTCGCAGAGCACGTCTCAGTCGTAACAAGTAGTTCCTCTGAGCAGCAAGAATTGATTCAACGTTTGTGAACTCTTCCAGGGAACATTTAACCAGGAGTCTCATTATTTATTTATTTACACACGACCTGATGGGATACGTCACATCATCTTTACCTGCTGCCCTTATCTGATAAAAGCTGAAAACAAAGAATAAAGTTTACTTTGCTTTTTCGATATTCTTCATGCTTTTAAGTGCAACCTCTTTAGAACACTGGTCAAATGGAGCGTTGATTCAAAAAACTGTTTTGTAGTGTAACCTTTTAAAGTTGATATTTACGTCCAAATACCAGCATTGTGAAAGTAATTTACAGCAGTAAAAAGTAAAAAGCATGTTATTTTGTGGTGATTCTATTTCTCCAAACAGCAGAGAAATGTTCATGTTAGAAGCCCCTACCATCTTTACGTCGTCCATGTGTAATACACTTTCTACCACCTCACCTTCTAGAACATTTTTGTATCTTTGTATCCAAACATGATGCATCGGAAACAAGTCAAACTTTCAACTTTAGTCACAACTGCTGATTACCTGTGCATGCACCGTGTGAAGACGTACCTCTTTAAATGGTAGATTTTATGTGTGTATTGTCCCTTCTCGCCTTCCTTTTCATAAGGCTCATTTTTCAACACCTCGATGCCTTCGCCTCCTCCGGTTTCATTCTTACTGGCCTCGGCCACAGAGTACAGCTGCCCTACTTGATACTGCAATAAATTTAAACAGAAATCACCATATAAACATGCAGTGAAGGACTCTCACCAAATAAAAAGGTAAAAAAGAGCCGAATCTCACTCGGCTGTTAGAAACCAGCTGGCAGCTCAAAACAAAAAAAATTTAAAGGCAGATTTTCCATTGAAATCCCACTGAATTATGTTTGTGGCCAGAAGCTGAGGCCTCCTATTGTGTCATTAATTTATTTAAATCACAGCCTATTTTTGTTTTTCTGTATTCTAGACAGTGAAGACCATTTTGCTGCCCACCTCCACCCACATTACACCCTCTGGTACCAGCTCTTCATGGTCTAATCAGCTGGAGTAAACTTGGGTTTTTAGTCCGGGAGCATCATAAACACCGTGCGAATGTTCTGCGCACACATCAGGCTGAATAAAAAATGAGGTTGTGTGAAAGTATGAGTAAAAATACTCAACTTTCCACCTGCTGTGAGAATGTGCGTACCACCACAAACTGTTTCAGTCCACGGTATCAAACTGCAAAGTACTGAAACTCACCTAACTGCACTGAAATATAACGGTTGGTTTATGAACTTAGGGGTACTTGAACACGTTTTCTCCTTAGTTTGAACATTTCTTCTTCTTCTTTCGGCTTTGCCCTCTTCAGGGGTCGCCACAGCGAGTCATCTTCCTCCATCTCACTCTGTCCTCTCTCCATGTCCATGTCCTCTCTAACTGCATCCATTTATCTCCTCTTTGGCCTTTAACACATGTGTGTCAAACTCCAGGCCCGGGGGCCAAATGTGGCCCTCGTTGACTATTTATCTGGCCCCCAAGATGTTCTTTTCAATGTAAAAACTTTTATCACTACTTTTATTTTCAGTAACCTTTGATTATGATGTCAAAAGTACAACAGAGAACATCAAGACCAATCAAACACTTGTTGAGGAACCTGTGATCAAGAGCAGATGTTGGTATCTAACTTGAGTTAACGTAGATTCTGAAACCAGCCCTTAGTTTGAAAAAGGTTTTAATTTTGGCCCCTGTTGTAAGTGGGTTTGACACCCCTGCTTTAACACAAACCAAGAATTTTGATTTGTGTTAAAAGTGCAGACGTTGAACTACACAACAGTTTTTAAATAGTGTTGATCGGCCAAGTAAAACCAGAGTTATGATCAATAAGCCACGCCAAGTTTTTCTAAATCATCGTCATATCTGAAGCGTTAGAGTGAGAGGCTGCAGCAAACATGGGCAGTCTCAGGGGAAAAAACACCCCACACTTTCACTTCCCACCCCCACCGAACAGATAAACAACCGCCCCCTCCTTTATGACGGAGGATCAAAGTTATTTGTCAAGTGACACAAGAAGAATAAGAAAAAGAGACAGAAGTTGAATAGAGTTCAGCGCGAGATAAAGTCACAGCGAGAGCGGGAGGGAGTCATGAGGTCTGAGAGATTTGTGATGATTAGCTTGTTTGGATTTTATAGAAAATATGAAAAATATTTCATTCATTCTGACATGAAAAATATTGAACACTACCATTTTCAGCCACTAGAGGACCCTCGACTGATATGGCAAGCCAAGTGTCTCATTAATAGGTAAAAGTGGCTATTAATGAGACACTTGGCTTGCCATACAAACCACCTTCATCTTGCTCCGGAGCTCCTGGAGCAAACGTCAAATCAGCTGCATGTCGCTGCGCCGCCCGGGCGAAGTGCAGCTGATGTGCCCATTAAAGTGCATTTATTAAGGAGAAGTTCAACTGACACACACCTTTACTATAAAGTCGAGCAAACAAATAATTATTTATTTATTAACCTTTATTTAACCAGGCCAATCCCATTGAGATCACAAATCAACACATTATCACAAATAATTGTTTTAAAGTGCTAATCTTGTTAAATTCTTGTTAAAGTCCTCCCGTGCACGCTCCCGCCATTTGGCAGCTCATCAATTTTTGGTCAGCTGGTGACGCGTAATAGATGCGACTTATACGGCAGTGCGACATTTAAGACGGTGAGTACGGTACTGGGATCGGCTGGAAAGTGGAAACCACGTGGATCGGTGCATCCACCACCAGCTGCAGGCGGTGCAACAAAGACTGTTTTATTGAGTTTCTTACTCAAGCCTGAGTGCGTGACCGCCTTAAACACAACAGAGCACTATTTTAATGTACATTTTCTAACTAACCTTTACGTTTTGTAATTATTCACTTCAAAGATTGTTAAATAAAAGATTATTGCACTCACCTCTTCCACAGAGACCGGCAACACAACACGGCTGAAGAAGAATGGAGACGTGGGACAGGGGACGGGGGGGACACAACAAATATGTTAGAACAACAATAACACAAAATGTAAACAATTCTGCAAAAAAATGTTGACGGTTCCAAAATGTTGTCCACAAATCCTAAATAACTTTAATAATTGGTTTTTAGCTCATTTTGGCCCCGTTTACACGAGAACGATCTCTGGAAACGATTTATTTCAACATTTTTTATGGAAAATCTAAATAAATAAATATACGTTATCCTGCTGAAGATTATTTAAACTATTTGTTTTCTAAGCCCAAATATCATAAATTCTGAGTGACGTAAGATTCAGTTCAATGAAGTTTCTTTATCACAACAAGTACGACACAAACATTAACTGAGAACCAGTTCACAAACTTTACAAAAACTTGTTGATCTTTTTATTTTATATTTGTGCTAAAACAAATATGGACATTTTTTACTGACTGGCCAAGCTTGAACGCTAAAAGATAATTATGTGTTTGAGAAACGGCAAAAAACTGGAACTTAAAAACATTTTTTTAAAGTAAAACAACAAATAAAAACTAATCATGATAATATTCTCATTATTTTCCCCAAGAAAGTTCAGTTTCTTTCAACGAAGAATTTTATTTTTCTTCATTTACCCGTTATTGATGCAGGTATTATTGATCCAGGTATTATTGATCCAGGTATTATTGATCCAGGTCGTCTCATTGAACCACGAGAACTCATTTTCAAGAGAGACCTGTTTAGGAGCAGGTGGTGGGGGTTAAGTGCCTTGCTCAGGGGCCCAGGGTGGGGCGAATGAGGGTGGAGGCAGGTGTGGGTGTTTCACCTTTTCCACCTACATTTTGATCTTGACGGTACCGGGAGTTGAACCTGCGACTTTCCGATCACAGGCCCATCTTGTAACCTCTGCGCCACCACTCCCCAAAGAAAACAGTGACGTTAAGATAAACTCTGCTAAATAATGTTCCATCACATTATTTGTCAAATAATTTCAGCTGTTTCTTTTTGAAAGGGAACAATGAGCCATCCTCCATCTCACGCCTCCCATGTCCCCTCTGATGGTGCTTTGCCACCGTCTCAACCCTCATCAGTTCCGCACCAGTTAAAGGCCAGTCCACTGCCAGTACCCCTCACTGTAACATTATATTTATTATTTACGGTGGAAAAATCATCTGAGAAGAACCGATAAGACGAGAGCCAAGTGGACTCACATCAATGGCAAGGCAGATAAACTGCAGCTGCATTTCTAACATCCTTCTACCAGTATACACACTGTCCCTCCTCTGGACATGTCCAAACCACTGTCCCTCCTCTGGACATGTCCAAACCACTGTCCCTCCTCTGGACATGTCCAAACCACTGTCCCTCCTCTGGACTTATCCAAACCACTGTCCCTCCTCTGGACATGTCCAAACCACTGTCCCTCCTCTGGACATATCCAAACCACTGTCCCTCCTCTGGACTTATCCAAACCACTGTCCCTCCTCTGGACATGTCCAAACCATCTCAGTGTGTCCTCTCTAACTTTATCTCCCAGGTGTTCAACCTGTGCTGTACCTCTGATGATCTCATTCCTGATCTTCTCCATCCTTGTCTCTCCTCAGGAGAACCTCAACATCTTCATTTCTGACACTTCCTGTTCTGTCTCCTGTCTTTTTGTCCATGTCTCTGTCTCCAGACCATACAACATAGCTGGTCTCACCACTGTCTTGTAAACTTTTCCTGTGACCTTTGCTGACACCTTTTGTCACAAATCACTCCTGAAACTTTTCTCCATCACTCCATCCTGCCTGGACTCTCTTCTTCTCTTCACCACACTCCCCATGTTCCTGGACCCCAAGTCCTTGAAGTCCTGAACCTTGGTGACCTCTGCTCCTTGTAGCCTCACTGTTCCACCTCCTCCCTCCTGTTCACACACATGGACTTTTGTCTTACTGGGGGCGGCTGTGGCTGAGTGGTTAGAGCAGTCGTCCTCCAAAGCAAGAGTCAGTGGTTTGATTCCACCAGCAGTCACATGCTGAAGTGTCCCTGGGCAAGACACTGAAGTCCCCATAGCCTCTGATGTGTCCCATCGGTGTATGGATGTGATAAAGCTCTGATTAGTCTTTGTTTAGATCTAGTAGAGTTCTGTACGAACGGGTAAATGAGGCACAGATTGTTGTAAAGAGCTCGGAGTGTCCTGGTAAGATAAAAAGGAGCTGTATAAGTACAGTCCATTTACATCTGACTTTCATTCCTCTTCTTTCAAGTGCATACCTCCACCTCTCCAAGTTCTCTTCCACCTGTTCTCACCTCAGATCTGTCAGCTTTTAAAACTTTTCTAAAAACATCTGTATTCCCCAGTGTTTTAATCTGACATGTATAGCTACAGCTGTGGTTGTTTTAAAGTGCTTTTATAACTAAAGCAGTAGTTTAAGCATATCTGAAACAACTGTCAGCGTGCCTGTGTGCAGGCTGGTCAGTTAATAGGATTAAAGTGGTTAAAAACATTCAGTGCTGTAAGACTGAATGAACAAAAAGCATTAAGTCTGTATTAGCCGCCCATAATCAGTGCTAACCATTTATTGCTCATGCCAATAAACACACACGAGGCTAACCTGAAAGGTGGATATGCAACACAAGTGTTTGCTCAGGTGAGGCCTGAATAAGAAGCCGAGCTGCTGGGTGCAGGTCTAACAGATGAACTCCTGCTGCAGCTAGCCGTTAAATCCGTCAGAGCAAAAGCTTAATCTGCCGCTCGCAGACCCACAGCTACAGGCTAGCCGGCTAGCTGCACTCCCCTTTAAACGCCTACATTGAACCAGCCGGGTCTTGTCGTCTAACTAAACGCGCAGTGCGTCTTGGTGTCATCTTAGCAGCCTGTTAACGCCAGTCGTTTTCATTCAAAAGCTTCGTTTCCTCCACGATGTAGCAACTCAGCAGCTAGCGCTAGCTTAGCAGCGTCTAAAAAAGACCGGCGTGTCCCGTTATCCACGTCCTGATCCACCCAGCTCAAAGCTGCCGTTTCACCGGCTGCACGGCACGAAAACACCCGGACAGCTGCCAACTAAACCGACGCTTCGGCCTCACTAACGCGTGCTTGGAAGGATGGGACTATCCGGTTAAATGTGCTAAAATGTATGTTTATAGAAAACACTTCAGACTCACTATTCCTTAATGAGCACCATCTTCGTCACGCGGTCTGCGGCTGCGCAGTAGAAACTGACGTCACACATCATCGACAAGTTAGTCCCGCCCAGTCCCGCCCTCTGGGATAAAACTTTCTCAGCTGATTTTATTTTTTTCATTCATTCAACCTTTATTTAGACAGGTGAGCCTCCAGGACTCATTTACAAGAGAGACCTGCTTTAACAAAGAGTGATGACAACAATGGACAACAAGACAACAATAAACAGTTATTAAAAGTCATACTACAGTTTTTTTTGTTTTTTTATATAACAAAAACTAAAAACAGGAACATGTCTGCATTGGCATTGCCAGGAGTCCAACATAAGGCAGTCATTGTCAGTGTACATTGTTCCTGTTTTTAGTTTTCTACATTCGCCTTAGAATCTAGCTGTTTTCACCTGTTTTTGCTACTTTTTTTGCCATCTTATTTTAATTTGTAAAAAAATAATAAAAATCTGTATGCCTCTTTTATAACTGTTTATTGTTGTCTTGTTGTCATCATTCTTTGTTAAAGTCAGGTCTCTCTTTAAATGAGTCCTCGAGGTTCAATGGGATTAACCTGTAGAAATAAAGGTTGAATGTAGTTTTTCCTTCTTTTAGCCGCTCTCTTCTTCAAGGGTCTCCACATGAAACTAACTCAAATGAAGACTTGGTCATTTTTACACCGGAGCCCCTTCCTGACACAACCACAGCCCTCTGTGTGGAGCAGGGAGCTGCCATCTGGGGGGAGGATGGTGGGGGTTGGGGGCCCAGTGCGGGTCAGGTGGGTTTGGACACTGGTGTGGGTGCGTCACCTTTTCCACCCACATTTTGATGTTGTTGGCAGGGAGTTGAACCGGCAACCTTTCGATCACAGGCCCACCTGCTCTAACCTCTGCGTCACCACTCCCCCCACATTTCTGTTTTATACAATAGTCATTTAGCCCTGGTATCGTCCTTAAACTTTAAGATCATCAGTGTTCAAATTTAACCTTCAGTCGTAGACAGAGACCATCCAGGTGATCCACAGAACGCCACAGGAAGTCCTGCAAACTTTTCATCTCCTCCCCTTTTCTACACATAGGGTAATAAAATTAATCCTGCACCACAATAAATACTCACATTAAAACAGTCCACACGTGTCTGCACCTGGCCTGTTTATATCTTGTTAGAATTTTTTATATTCTCTGTTATTTTTATATTCTCTGTTATTATATTCTGTTATTTTTATATTCTCTGTTATTTTTATATTCTCTGTTATTTTTATATTCTCTGTTATTTTCATATTCTCTGTTATTTTTATATTCTCTGTTATTTTCATATTCTCTGTTATTTTTATTTTCTCTGTTATTTTCATATTCTCTGTTATTTTCATATTCTCTGTTATTTTTATATTCTCAGGTTTTTTTTATATTTTGTGTGATTCCTTGTGTTTGTTCCTTTGTACTGAAACTCTGGCACAGTTTCCTTCGGGATCAATAATCTGGATTAGCCTGTCTAAATAAAGGTTGAAGGAATAAAGTTCTGTCTTATCTGGTTGAATTTGAACTCTTTAAGGGTCTTTAGTAAAAAAAAAAAAAAAAAAAAAAGACATTAAATTTTTTTTTTCATAATCAAAAAAATTTTTATTTTTTTATACATTTGGGTGTGTGTTTGTGTTGGGGGGGGGGGGGGGTGTATTTCCCCCATTAGTATACCCCAAATTATTTTTTGACTTTTTTTAATTCTAGTCTGGAGTTTTGTGAAGACCCTCCAGACCTTCAGAGCCTCTAGTTCAAAACGAGGTCTTGTTTTCAGTCAGACTCGTGTCTTCGAACATGGAGATGTTTTTCTAATTACTTTCTTTTCTTTGTTTAAACAATGCCTGTGATAGAACTGCTATTTAAAAAAAAAAAAAACTTTGTGGGGGGTGTTGTGATTTTCTTATTTCTCCACCCGAGTTCTGTAGTAACCGCTTCAATCCTGCAGATATCAGTCAAATCATTGCACATTAAATACGACAATGGCACCTTTAAGTTTATGAATATTTAATAAGTAAAGTAACACAGAAGTAATAATGTTGTCACAGATTCACAAGTATAAACAGTGGGTTAGTTAAATGCAGTCGTTATTTTATCATATTAAAATGGATGCATCTCTTAATCTGAAACAATACAACCTGCTTTTATCTTTCTCCTCCAAACTGCTCCTGGCTGCTGCGTCCCTCTCTCACACACACACACGAGGAGACGACTCTTCACTTCTCTTTGTCTCAGAGAAACAGGGGCGTTCCTTCACACAGAATAACTAACTTTTTAGCGCGCTTTGAGTCTGTCTGCGTTCTGATTGGTCAGTAGCAAAAGTGGTTTACATCGTGTTACATTATATAAACAGGAAATGAAGAGCCTCTTCAAAGTAAAACAGGAAATGGGTCAATTTCAAAATAAAATAAGAATTAGGAGTCAGATTCTAAAAGGAACAAATATTATTCCACAACAGGGGGTACCACATAGATGGGGTACCGACCTGCAGATACAAGCGAGCTGCAGGAACGCACTACACCCAGGAAGTACTTCCTGGCTTTATGAAGCGAAGGCCCTGGAGCGTTTCATTCTGCGTTCACATGGAACGACCACTACGTGTTCTTGTGCACACGACAAGCGACTTGTTGCTCTTTACGTCCAAACTAAAATTATTTTTGTTGAGCGTCTCTGGCTGAGGAAGACGTAACATTTCCAGGGATCTTACTGGTCAGAGAGCAGTGGTTTGACTTTTGTATCCAGTCAACCAGACTTTCACACAGTGGGGGGTGGGAGACCTTGCCATCTAGGTTCAGTCCATCTCCACCAGGGTGCAGCAGCGTTCTCCTCATCTTCTGTGACAGTTTAGTGAAGCAAGGTAAATAACACACTCCACTAAATATCTTAATTTTCCCACTATTTCCAGTCCTCCCACATCATGAAAACAGTCTCTTGACACCAAACACTGGAGAAACTCTGGGGACGGCCACGTGGAGGCCTTTTTAAAATTCTCATTTGACCGTGTGTGTTGGAGTTCGCTCTCAGCTACCAACATGCAACATTTCAGCTCAAAATTAAAAATTCAAAACATCAAAAGGCTTTTTTTCAAGCTATGGTGGCCATCTTGGATTTTTGATTTGGATTCAGTACACGATGGGGAACATTAACCACACCAAATTTTAGCTCTATGTGCAAATATAACCGCGTTAAAGCCATTTGTAGTTAGCAGAAAGAAGCTGAAAAACGTACGGTAGAAAATGGATCACAGTAGTTGCTTGATAAGTTTTCACACATTAAGATACTACAACGAGAGAAATACTCAGAAATAAAACAAAAGACACGGATCATGACAAATGCTTCTTTACTGTAAAGTTTGAACGTGAACTGTAGAGGGCACGCAGCAGATCAGGAGATTTAACGCTCATGCACTCTTCTGTCTCCAAATGGCGGTCAGGTTTTTGTAAAGTTGGTAGAGCGAGTCCTATAAAATGTTTCTGCAGCTTCCTGTTGTAAAGTCAGAGCGGAGGTCGTCAGCGTGAAACAAACACTTATTCCACAAGTGCAATGTGTCTGCAGGCGCGAGTGGTTCAGATGACTCGGAGCTGGAGTTCTGAGCTGGGCCCAGTCTGGAACTGGAACGTTGCACGGGTGGATCAAAGACCTGGGTTGTGGTCTGTTGCCTCGACAATCAAACGAACAAATACAATGCTACATTTCAAACGTCACCTGAAGGTTCCAGAACAGCATCATGGCTCCCAAGTAAAGAAACAACTTGTACATCTGCACATATTTACAAGAACAGCCCGGGAACAGAATCCAGAGACGAGCGTTCACACTCGGGTCACGCTGAGCAGGAAAAATCTCACAAACCTTCAACGCTCAGTAGAACAGAAAAACCAAAGTCTGAGCTGTGAACTCCACAAATACATTCAACAAAGTTCTGCTGGACCCGGCTGATCAGAAGTAAACCAGCAGAAACCCTGTGCAGTTTGTTTCTCTGATAAAGGGTTGAGTGCAGCTTCCATCAGGGGTTTCAAACAGCCAGGACCTCCCTGGTGTGTTCAATGAATATCACTAATCAATCAATCAATCAATCTGTAAAAACAAGCAGCACGTCCCCGTCTCTGAGGGATATGGACTGGAGATGGAATGGAAGGTAACCTAAATGTTTCTGGTGCAAGATATTCAAGTGGGTGGTTACACTGTGGAGAAGAACTGAGGTAGATCCTGGTGAGCGAGGGATCAAGTTTATTTTTTATCTTTTATATTTATTTACACTTTTATTCACCACGAGGCACAAACTTGGAGCCAGTGGTGACTTTGCCACCGGAGATTAATCTTCAGCTACCCCAAGGGCCACCCCAGTCATTTGAGGAAACACTTATTATTAAGTATTATTAAGTTATATAAAAACTAGAAGCATAGTTTCCTTAAATGATTGGGGTGGCCAGTTTATATAGGGGGGGGGGGGGGGACTTGAATTTTGACTTGGCAGTCGAATTTTCAATAGTGACAATCCCAACATCTACAAGTAGATGTAGATAAAATGAAGTTGGTACTTTGCTTATTTTTGAAGTTGTCCAGTTTGCCAGGTAAGCAGCTAGACCTCCAGTAGTCATCTGGGTTGTGACATGGCAACCCAAACAGCTGAAGAGCCTTTCTCACGTTTAGACGCAGCTACACACCAAAATGAAGTTGGTGCCGCGCTTATTTTTCAAGTTACGCTCACAACACACACGGTGGGACGGAGGGTATAACATAACGTAACGCGCAAGATCTTTGTTCAAACCTTTGGAATTAAATCATTATTTATCCCATTTATCTTTTTAGCAAAATATCTCGTGAACCAGTTGATGGATTTCAGTTAAACTCTCTGTTCGACAACTGGTTTGGAGTCAACCTGATTCAACACGGCCACCACTGATCAAACACAAAAATGGCAGATACCAGATCGTATTCAGTTTGACAGAAACTGAAGTAAAACTCGGTGTGGTAGTAGCTGACGGTCATTCCTAACGCACGCTACAAGCACTAACTGATCATGTGAGATGTTGCATGAGATTGTGCTTAATGCAACTTTCAAGGTCCATGATTTGTTTTAAACGAGGGTGCGCCCCCCTTAAGAGCACTACGATGGGACTGGAATGGTTTGTGTGGGACTGTAAAATATTGGAGCAGTCTAAGGTTCAACTGGTTTCGTGCACATCGTGTTACTGGAGCAGAGGTTATGTGTATTTTTCTTAGTATTTTCTCCACATTGCATGAAAATGTGCAGCTCAACAGACAGAAGCAGTAAAACTGTGTTCGATCAGGAACGCATCTTCTCCCAACCACACATTCATCTGAAATGATCGATACAGTCTTTGTAACATTCAAGCCAAACCACTTTAGCTTCTTTTTGGTACAACCACAGATCTTTGACTAAAAGCAACATAAACGTCCTGCACCAGGTTTCCTAACCCTCAGCCAGGAGCACAGGGTCCATCCCGTATGCTAAAACCAAAGCTGAGGACCACCACCTGATTGTGTCCCAGGTGCAGCAGCACATGTGGGACACCGAATGCTACCAGCAGGTGGATCTGAGGTATACCAAGCAGGTGACTGTATAAAGGGAATGTTGCTGTGGACTACAGAGAGCTACATGCCCTGGGGTTAGGCTTCCTGGTCCCTATGCAGGGTAAATGCATGGTGAGATATTAAGGCTGTGGGTGGCCAAGACGCCACACTGAAAGGGGATGGAATCAACGAGAGCATCGCTGGTTCACACCATCGACCTGTTAATGCAGCTTCTCTCTGGGTTGCAGTTCCTGGACACTAGTTGGCAAACAGCATTCGTGAGGGGGTTTCCAAGGTTCTCAACTGGTGTGGTGGACCCCAGACTCCATCTCTCTTGTGGTGACGGTCTTGTTTCCTTATTGCCAGTCATTTCTGGGTGTCTGTTACGATGGGTCAGCGATTCAGCAACCTGCAACTGCACAGTCACTGACAACAAATGGCCTCAGGTCGTAACGGTGTTCAGGTGAAACGGGAACAAAAATCAAACAAACTGGGCCTCAGACTTGTGGTGAACTGAAAGTGACTCTGCCTCAGTTTGTCCTGAGCTCATGGGTGGAAATGGTTGGACAGAGGAAAGATCAGAAAGGAAAAAGGAAGGAGCGCCATTAACAAGTTCAGTTTGTTTGATACTTCTTTGTCATTTCCTGAACAGTTCGTTGATGCATCCTGTAAAGACTGTGATGGTAAACACCAGAGCTGTTTTGTCCTCCTGGTTTTATGGCTCCACTTGTATCCCCTGTACATAACCTCTACCCAGAGCGTCCTCCTTTTCCACCTTCTGGATGTGTCCAGGGATCATGGTGGTTCAAGCTTGGTCTTTTAAAAGCATCAGTTTTGTTGAGAACTTCCCTTCGGTCCCAGTAGTCCCCCACTGCCCTCCTTGGTGCTCCCGCTGCGACCCCAGCACCCTGCTGCTAAGCTCATACTCCTCTGGGTCGCTGATGCAACCGATCGCTCGCGCTCCCCTTCACACTGGCTCAGGGTGCGTTCGGTTCGAACCAGCTGAGCGGGGGAAGCAGTCCCCACCCCTCCTGGCTGCTGAGAAGAAACGGTGCGAAAGATGTGGTTGTGTTTCCGAAGGAAGTCTCCTCCGGCTGCACCCAGAGCCAAGCTGCCCTTTCGGAGGACCACACAAGTGCTGGTGGACTTGGCGGGCCGAGACCTTTGGTTGTAGTCGAGCTGGGACAGGTGGGACACGTAACCGTCTGGAATGAACTGGAAGAGACGAGGGTCAGTTAGTTCTTTTTAACATGAACTGAGAGCAGAACTGTGTTCCAACAGTACGTCACTGAAAACATGCAGTGCTGCGATAAAGTTCACACTTCTACCTGTTGTCACGCTACAACCACAAACTTAAAGGTGTTTTACTGGGATTTTATACGATAAGCCAACACACAGTGGAAGGAAAATGATATATTCTTCAGGTTTTTAATGTGAAAAGTGTTTCTTACATTTGGACTCAGCATCTCTGAGTCAATACACCAAAGAAGCACCTTTGGCTGCAGCTCCAGCGAGTCCTTTGCTGTTGACCAGCTTTGCCCAACTAGAGATTGAAATATTTGCTCGTTCGTTTTTGCAGAACAGCTCGGGTGGATCGGGGCGAGAGCAGGCTCGAGCGGTGGCTCTGAGATATGTGTAGCAGTTAAGATGATGATTAAAGAGCGACACCGTTTTATCACATGCGCTCTCCTTAATGGCTTTCCTGTTAATAACACATCTATTATACTTTATAAGCACTTGGATTATTTGATGCATTCACCCTATATCATTTACCATATTTCACTATTATTACAGGGAATTTCACATCATTTGTGTTTATACCAGGAAGGAATCAAGTCGAGACCCCTGCGGCAGGTGCACACACCGTCCCCACTCTCTTACCAACACGTCACATGCTCAAAAATACTTTAGTGACGATGACATTAATGTACAGTGCACACAATACAAAAGTAAGTTGGTAAATTTATTTAAAATGTGAACAGGTTATTTTAATAAACTGTATTAAAAATGTGTGCACAAATAATTTGGACCAATAAACTATTTGTATAATGTAAGAGGAGTTAAAGAACGAGACAACGCGAGCATCGAGTGGAGGGAACCTGAACCCCCAGTGGCCCGTTGAAGAAGTGGACTGAAACAGGCTGTGGAGGCTGGTCATGGAGTCCAAACGAGCCAGAACCAGAACCAAGCATCTGGATGAGGAGATCAGAGGCCATCATTCATCATGGACTGGTCATGAGTGGGTCTACAAGAGTCAACAGGGTCTCCCAGGCCTGATAAGACTCCCTCCCCATGGTGCTGGAAGGGAGACAGTAAATCGTGAGGCAGGAGGTCCCGACCAAGAAGACGAGGAGAGTGGGAACAAACCAGGAAGAGAAAAACTTTCAGAAAGGAACGTGTTTATAGGGTTAGAAGGGTCTGGCTCTTTTATCAACTTTAATGTGGCCCGATGTGCAACGTGTACCCCCATGAATGTCATCAAGACGACCGGCTCGCCCCGTGATGTGCGACTTTTAGAGGAGAGAAGGTTTCAGGCCAAGAGGGTTCAGGTGAAGTCTTCAAGAGGGGCAACTGTGGCAGCTGGAGACTGCCTGACAACTCTTCAAGGTACAAAAATACGTTTCTCAACTTTCTCTTTCTTTCTCTGCTGGACTACACAACACAGCTGGATTTATTAAAAACCTCTGAGGCTCACACAACAGCTGGATTTATTGTACCAAACCTCTGAGGCTCGCACAACAGCTGGATTTATTAAAAACCTCTGAGGCTCGCATAAACAGCTGGATTTATTAAAAACCTCTGAGGCTCGCACAACAGCTGGATTTATTGTACCAAACCTCTGAGGCTCGCACAACAGCTGGATTTATTAAAAACCTTTGAGGCTCGCACAACAGCTGGATTTATTGTACCAAACCCCTGAGGCTCACACAACAGCTGGATTTATTAAAAACCTCTGAGGCTCGCACAACAGCTGGATTTATTAAAAACCTCTGAGGCTCGCACAACAGCTGGATTTATTAAAAACCTCTGAGGCTCACACCACAGCTGGATTTATTAAAAACCTCTGAGGCTCGCACAACAGCTGGATTTATTGTACCAAACCTCTGAGGCTCACACCACAGCTGGATTTATTGTACCAAACCTCTGAGGCTTGCACAACAGCTGGATTTATTAAAAACCTCTGAGGCTCGAACAACAGCTGGATTTATTGTACCAAACCTCTGAGGCTCGCACAACAGCTGGATTTATTAAAAACCTTTGAGGCTCGCACAACAGCTGGATTTATTGTACCAAACCTCTGAGGCTCGCACCACAGCTGGATTTATTGTACCAAACCTCTGAGGCTCGCACCACAGCTGGATTTATT